GATCTCCAGGTCCATCCATGGTGCTGCAAATGGCATTATTTTATTATTTTTTATGGTTTAGTAGTATTCTGTTGCAGAAATATACCACATCTTCTTTATCCAGTCATCTGTCGATGGACATTAAGTAGTTTCCATGTCTTGGCTATTGTAAATAGTACTGCTATGAACATTGGGGTGCATGTATCTTTTCAAATTAAGGCTCCCTCTGGATATATGCCCAGGAGTGGGGTTGCTGGATCATATGGTAAGTATATTTTTAGTCTACTGAGGAATCTCCATACTGTTTTCCATAATGTCTGCACCAAACTACATTCCCACCAGCAGTGTAGGAGGGTTCCCTTTTCTCCACACCCTCTCCAGCATTTATTGTTTGTGGACTCTTTAATGATGGCCATTCTGACTGGTGTGACACTGAGAGACTTCTGATTCATTTGTACACAAATGTTACTCTATGAGAAACATTGTGTACCTTTTCCTTTAAATCAGCTTAATTCAGACTCAGTTCCCACCAGAGGAATTCTACTGCAGTCATTCTGAGGTCCCGCTTGGAACAGACTGCATTTTCTAGACTGAGTCTCAGGCCAACAAGAATGTCTGCAATAGTATCTTTGGTCCTGCAAGTGCTTTTAGGAGACTGTGTCTCCTCCCCTTGAACGAGGTGGGCCTTTGTGATTGTCTCTGCTACCCGAATACAGAGGGAGCGGTGCTACATGATTTCTGGGATTAGGTCATAAACTGCCATATGCTTCTATCTTGGTCTCTGTTAGTTCTTAAAACCCAGCCATCTTGCTGTGAGGAAGCCCAAGCAGCCTGCGGAGAGGCCTTGGTCCCCAGCTCTAGCTGAGCTCCCAGCTGACAGTGAGCACCAACTTGCTAGACATGTGAGTGCGCCATCTTGAAAAACAGATCCTCAGCCTCCAACTAAATCAGCTGATACTGCTTAGAGTTGCGATGAGCCTTCCCCACTGAACCTACCCCAATGGCAGCTTTATGGGCTAAATAAATTTGTTTGTTACCTAACAATAGGAAACAGACGCACCACTCTCCTTCCCTCCCTCCTTCTTTCCCTCCAGAGCTGTACAGAAGTCTTGGGGCCTTACCCTGGTCCAGGTACCAGTGAGACCCCAACACCCATGTTCTTGCCCACATGGCCCTCCAGATCTCCTGCTCAGCAGCTTCTGGGCCACCTCTGGGGTGGGGAATCTCTTGAGAGGCTGGAAACCTCATGGCCAAACCTTTTTGAGGTCTTCCATACTACCATTTCCCCTACCTCCAAGTTGGCCGTTTTCATATCTTCTCTCAAGTCTTTCTAGACTGGTTCTTCTTACCCCTTTTCCAGCCTCCAGAACCCTTGGCTTCACCTCTGGAATGGACTGAAGAATTTCCCCAAGGATGGAAATGAGCTCTTACTAGAGGTGGCTCTGCTCTCTGCCTGGAAAAACACCCAAGCTAAGTCATGACAAAGCATGACTGCTGCTGGAAGAGAGGAAACGCTGAAGGAACCAACCAAATTTGCTATTTCAGTAAATAATTGAGAACACACATCTACTCAATGACTGTCTCTTAAGCTTCCAATGTGTGCCAGGCATTATGTTAGGTGCTGGGAAGACAAGGCTGAATGAATGGCAGTGCTACCCATAGACCTGGACAAGAGTGCCACCTGTGTCTACCCAGAGCTGCATCCCACCTGCTTCCTCAATCATGCTTCTGGGATCTGAAAACCTGGAAATATCTGCCCAAATGGCCCAAGCCCAGTTTTAGGGCTTATACAAGCAACTTCCCCAGGTCCATCCTTCTGAGGGCACAGCATGTCCCTGCATTCACCCCTAGAGGGCTGACCTGAGTAGTAGCTAGGGGGTGTGGGCAGAGTTTGGGCATGTGGGCTGGGGTGTTCACATGCTGGAGTCCTAGCCCACTTGTGACACACGATTGAGATGGCACGTGGAACAGAATTGGGGTGGGTGTGCTGGGGATTGGGGTTAGGCCTGATTCACCCACATCGCCATGTTCCTGCATGGAATTCCAAAGAATACAAGAATTCTAAATTTTTTTTACATGTTTTTTGTTTTTTTAGGGGGGTGGTAATTAGGTTTATTTATTTATTTTAATGGAAGCACTGTGGGGATTGAACCCATGACCTTGTGCATGCTAAGCAGGCACTCTACCACTGAGCTATACCCACACCCTCCCCAAAATTCTAAATTTAAACATGGCTTTTTTGGACTTTATAAAGAGTATTCCTTAAGGCAGGAGAACAGACATTATTTTACAGTCTGTTAAATGTTTAGATACAAGGTTTGTGGGCCTCAGCTTTCACTATGAACATGTTAGGGAAGCTCTGTGGAATAGGACCAGTGCCCCAGGCTCTGAACACCTATAGGTGACTCTCTTCTATGGCTGCAGAGGATGGTGGGAGAGTATGACAGAGATTCCAGAAGCTGCCTGCAGACTGCCCTCCATGTTGCCACAGCCTCCTCCATCTCTAACCTGGAGTGACAGAGACAGGAAGGGGTAGCAGATGGGACTAGTGTGATCTGATGTCTGGGGAGGGGGGCTGATGGAATCCAGCTGTTTTGCCACTTGCCAATCACCACCACAAACATCCCCAGCCTGAGGGGAGGGAAGCTGGAATCTAGCTCAAGACAGAATAGCACAGTGGTTCCCCAAATGTGGTCCCTGGACCACATCAACATCATCTTAGAGCTTTGTTGGGCTCTTGGCCTCCTGCAGGAAAGAGGGCATCCCTCTGTGGGAAGGACTACAATATGGGACATTGCTGGGCTTAAGCGGACTCCCCAACTTCACTCCCCCAGCTTGATGTGGAGATTCTATGAAGGTGACTTTTAACTGGAAAGAGAACATTTATTGAGCATGCACAGCATCCAAGAGTGGACAAACTTCCTGAACACCATCACGTTTACTCCTCAACGGCCACCCTCAAGATTGGTATTATTATCATCATCACCATTCCCCTTTTAAGGGCTCAGCCTAGAGAAGTTAAGTCCTTGTCTTCAGTCACAGGCTCCCGATCTGGTCTGTATGATTCTCAGACCACCAGAATGTCTTCACCATTATGCTGAAAGGTGGCTCTCAAACTTGAGGGTGATTCAGAATCTCCTTGAAGTCTTGTTAAAACAAATTGGTGGGCTCCTCCCCTGGAGTTCTTATTCAGTAGATCTCGGATGGGGTCCCCAAACACACCTTTCTAACAAGTTCCTGCTGCTGCTGCTGCTGCTGCTGGGCCAAGGACCACGCTTTGGGAACCACCTTGCTGGGCTGGGATCCAGCTCACCGCCCTACTCCACCCATACAAAACCAGCATAATCACACCTTCCTCACAACGGCGTCCTTGTGAGATGCCAGTGAGATAATGGGTACAAAAAAGCTTTGTCAGCTGCACAGGTGAACGGCTCCAGTCATAACCCAGGGACCCGAGGCTGGTCCCTGGGGTCTGGCAGTGTGGAGGGAGGCAGGTGGGGGCGCCACAGCCACCTGGAGAGCTTTTGAGCCCATCTTAATTCTGAGTCACTTCTCAAGGGAGAAAGCCAGCTTCTGAGGAATGGGCCAGCAGCCCCTCCTGCCGCCCGCCTCATCCACCCTTGCCTCCTCCCTTACCTCAGGCAGCTTGCTACCACTGCCGCAGCAGCTGACTGGTCCGGGCCACTTCTCCAGGGGCCAGTCCAGGCAAGCCGGTGTAGCATCAAGCCTTATGATTCAGGGCCTGGGGCTGGATCCCGCTCACCACCAGTGTAAGACTCAGAGGCCGGGACTTGCCTTCTCTAAACCTCAGGTTGCTTATCGGTAAAACGGACACACCATCTGGATAGAGCTGTGTGAATTCTCAACGGCCAGTACTTTCAAAGTACTTTTCTAAACCAGAGCTTGGCATGGAGCCTGGCCCTTGGCGAGAGTCCAGTCAGTGGTAGCTGTTAGTATTTTCAAAAAGTGCCTAGGCCCAAGCCACCTCCTGCCAGAGGCCCGGACTTGGAACGCAAAGAGCTCCCACGCTGTTCGCCGGTTGCACCCGGATACACCCGCCCTGGAATGCCAGCTTTGGGGCCGGAGGCCCGCCCGCCCTGGGTTGGGTTGCCAGGGCAGGGCAGCATTAGGGAGGCGCTGAGGCGGGGAAGGGGCGTTTCTGGGGCGTGGCCTCAACTTAGGTGGGCTGGGGCGGGGGTAGGCCCAGAGGAGAGGACGTCGGAGGCTGGGGGCGGTGGGAGAGCGGCCATCGGCGTTGGAGGGACCTGGGGGTCTGGTACCTGGGGAGGGCCTGGCAAGGATGAGGAAGGGCGAGGAGGGGCGGGACCGTTAGGTAGCGCTGATTATGGGGCTTACCCCCTAGCAGGACTCAAGCGCGGGACCCAGCCAGATAGAGAACCAGGCTGCGTCCGGGCAGAGCCGGGCAGAGCCTGGAGGGGCACAGAGGACCCGGCCGAGGAGGCGGGCCCAGGGACTGGCCTCATCCTCCCGC